ATACAAAAAGCACTCACCGAGGCCTCAGGTAGGATGGTTCCTGATGCTGACCAGATGAATACCTCCCTGGAAGCCCGCTCCACTCATGCCAGGCACTGGGGGCTCACCCAGGGGGGCTTTGCCAAACATCCAGCAGCTGCACAGAGGTACAGAGGCTGTGTGTGCCATTGCACACTCACACACATGTGCCATTGCACATGCACACGTGTGCCATTGCAGTCATTCTCTCTCGTACCCACCTGTTCTACTGCACACACACATTTGGGCACGTGCCTTTGCACACACACACGTGTGTCATTCCACACTCATTCACATTCGTACATCCATATGCCGTTGCACGCTCACACTTACGTGCCATTGTACACTCATTTACACACACACGTGTGCGACTGCACACTCGCTCTCACACGTGTGCTGTTGCACACTTATCCACACACGCCCACTCACTCCTGTGCCATCGCTCAACGACATCATCCCACGCTCACCCACCCCGCGGCCCCTTTAAGAGCCTCCTTAAGCCCCGCCCCACTTTAAGCCCCGCGTCCCCACGGGGAGGGTCCCGCCCCCCCTTCGCGCGGGGGTCTATTTTTAGCGCACGGGCGCCGTCACGTGACCCGCGAGTGACGTCACCGAATGTTGTTGTCGGGGCGGGCGGGGCCGCGCGGCGAAGATGGAGGAGGAGGGGGGGGCGCGGCGGGGCGCGCGCCGGGCGGCACCGGGGGGACCCCAGGTACGAGGGGGGCACGGGAAGGGGGGCACCGCGCCTGGGGGGGGCCGCGGCGGAGCGCGAGGGGGTGCGGTACCGGGGTCACTCCTTTGCGCGTCCGGGGGGGGCTCCCCGTGCATTGGTGGGGAGGCTGCAATGGGGAGGCGCATCGGGGGTCCGGTGCGGTTTAGGGCGGGGTGTGTGTGTGTGCAGTGGGGAGGGGGGTTTGTAATGGGGGGCTGCTGTGTGGTTGGGGGGGCCCGATGTGATGGGGCTTTGCGCCGTGCGGGATGGGGGGGGGCTGCAATGGAGGACCCCTGTGCGGCTTTGGGGGGGGGCTGCAATGGGGGGGACCCTCCTGTGAGAGTCGGGGTGGTGCAATGGGGGGGGCCCGTGCAGCGCGAGGAGGGGGTTGCAGTGGAGTGGTTTTGGGGGGACTGCAATGGGGGTCTCGGTGCGGGTGGACGGGGGGCTGCAATGAGATCCCGCTGCGGTTCGGTGCGGAGGCTGCAATGGGGGACCCCAGTGCAAGTCAGGGGGGGTCCTGTGCGTTACGGGGTCCCGGCATGGTTCGGAGGAGGGGGGACCCACGCAGTGGTGGGGGCCTGCAGTCTAGAGGGGTCTCTGTGCAGTTCGGGAGGGCTCTGCAATGTTGGGGGTCCCGGTGCTGTTGGGGGGTCCTGGTGCGGTTCGGCAGGGCCCTGTAATGAGGAACCTCGGTGCGGTTCGGGAAGAGGTCGGTGTGGGTTGGGGGTCCCGGTGCGATGGGCTTTGCTCTGTGCAATGGAGTGGGGTAGTCTGTGTAATGAGGGGATCCTGCGATGTCGGGGGGGCCCTGCGATGTCGGGGGGCCCGTGCGCCAGCGCGGCGGCAGCTCCGCAGCGCGGCCCGTTTGCAGCAGGGGGGGCGGGGGGGCCCCGCTGCACCGCGCCGGGCTCGGGGCTGTTGGCAGCCTGCGTGTCCTGTCCCCCCCTCCCCTCCGTGGGGTCCGTCCCGCCGCGTGGCCCCTATGCGTGGCACCCTCCGACTCCCATCTTGGGGCAATGCCTCGGTTTTGGGGGGGCGGCAGCACCGGGGGCCTCGTGGTGTGGGGGGCAGCCACAAGTGAGTGTGTGTGTCCCCTCCACCCATGTCCTTATGGGGGTCCCACCCAAGTCCTTTTGGGGTGGTACCGGGGGGTGGGGGGTACTTCTCTGCCATCCCTTTGGGCTCCCCCTTTGTGCTCCCCCTTCTTTTTCTGGAGAGCTTTGTGTAATGCTGCCAACTCCCCCAAAGCCCCCTCTGCCCCCCCCAGGTCCCTTCTGGGGGTGCCCACAGGTCCCCCCATCCCTGGGGGCAGCAGAGCAGAGCGGAGCCACATACTGCCACTGGCGGGTGTTCAGGGGCTGGAAGGGGGCTCAGTGCTGGCTCCAGCCCCCCTCTCACTTGGTGCTGGGGGGGATTTTGGGGGTTCCAGGGTGCTGACAAGGCGCTTGGTCCCGCAGGGCTCCCAGGTGGCGCAGGCACAACCACGGTGCCCCGGGCGGCACTGACGGGCTCGCCGGACACGTGCCTGTCCGCACCCCCCTGGCACCCGCCGCCCACCATGGACCCCCAGAGCGACACAGGTGAGCCCTGGGGACCCCGGGATGGGGGTGTTCCCCTCTGCCAGGCACCGGTCACAGCCGCGTCCCCCCTGCACATTGTCGTGTCTGCACTGTGGCCCCAAAGCCCCTTGCTATGACACCCACGGGGTGTTGGGGTCCCACAGGGTGCTGTGGCAGTGTCCCACCCACCACGGCACGTCTGTGCCCGCTGCTGTGGGGGTGTCACCGTGCCAGACACCGGGGCGAGGGGGGGGATGGGAGTTGTGCCAGCCACCCCCCTCCCCCGGGTATCCCGGGCCATGCCAGGTATCCCCCTTCCTGGTTTTCCCAGACCCCCAGCATTTCCCACCCCCAGGGGAAGCTGAGGCACGGCTCCTGTCACCGCCGTGGCACGGCCTACGCGTGGCTCTTTGCGCGGAGTCCCTGCGGTGCCACGCGTGGAGACAGCTGTGGTGACCACGAGGGCTGTGCCTCCCCTGTCCCGGCTCCCGCTGGCTCCCCGGCAGAGCCGCCCTGTAATTATCCCGGTGGGAACTCCGGCGACATCTGGACAGGGGTGTGGGGGGGTGTCCTCTCCCCCTTCCCGGATGGGGACACGCGGCACCGCTGACCCCTGTGGGCTCTGAAGGGGAAACTGAGGCACAAGGGCCGTGGTGGAGCCCCCGTGTCCCCTGGATGGACTCCACTGGTTGGGGATGGGAATACGTGTATCCTCTCTGCCCCCAAACCGCCCTGGTTGCCATCAGCTGGTATTTTTGGAGCAGCCGCAGGGCTGGAGCGTCGCCTGGCCGTGCCTGGCACGAGGCTGGCACGGGGACACGGTAGCATGGGGACACGGCCTGCCCGCCTCTGCCATCCCTGGGGCGCTTTGCTCGGGGTCCCCTCCTGGCTGTGGCTTTGGATTTGCCTCTGGAAGGGGGGTTTGGGGCCTCCCCAGAGATGCTGTGACTCTCCGGCTGCTGTGATGAGTTGGGGAAGTCTCAGCTGGGCTAGGTCAATCACGGGGACGTGGCAGAGCCCACCCCTGAGCTTGGGGGTCCCCAGTCACCCCTTGGGGGGCTCTGTGCCCCCCAGGGCTCTCCAATTGCACCCTTTTCCCATGCTCATCCCAAAACTGGGGGGTGGTGGTCCTGTGAGTGCCGGTACCATCCCCGGGTGCAGCCCCCCCGTGTCCCCTCCATCTCTCCCGTCGTGCCTGGGGGTCCCCACTATTACTTTCCATCTCCTTGAGGGCCCCCCCATCCCCCAGATATGCCACCACCTCTGGATGGGGCTCCATGGGGAGCCAGGAAGGGGGTCTAGGAGCTGTAATGGGGGTCTGGCCACCAGGAAAGGAGTCCAGGAGCCGGGAAGGGGTTCCAGGAGCCAGGAGGGCCCATTCCCGCGGCCTCCTGCCCGCTGGCAACACCAGAAATAGCTGGGCTGACGTCAAGCCCCAAAGCACCCTGTGGGGGGGGACGAGGGGGGGGGTGGGGGGTGTCCCAGAAATATCCCAGCTATTAAAAGTCTTGGCTTGGGATTAACATGCTGGTAAATAAACGTGGCGGCTGCCGGGGGGGTTACGCACGGCTGGGGCGCTGGGGGGGGGTCACCGTTCCCAAAAGGGGGGTCTCCACACCTCAGCCCGTTGTCACCTCCTGCTCTGATTTGTCCCCGTGGAGCTGCTTTGGGGCACTAATCCTGTGGGAAATGTGCTGAGTTGACATCTGCACCCCCCTGCACCCCTGTCTCCCTGGAGGGTCTTGTTGGGGGGAGTCACAGGGTCCTGGGGAGGGTGGGGGGGTTTGCTTTCATTTTCTCAAAGCGGGGCTAATCGTTCTCTGTACATCCCAGATTTTATTCCTGGCAGTGCTGATGCGGATTAATGTCCCCAGCAATTAGGGGGATGTGGAAAGGGGGGTGGGATGAGGATGGGAGGGGTGTGGTGGGATCCCAGGACCCCCACAGCCCCCCCATGCAGGGCAGCCGCTGTGCCCTGTCCCCGGGGCAGTTTGGGGATGCAGCTGGGTGTTGGGGGGGGCACAGTACACCCCATCCCACAGGATCTGCTGTGACACACCCCCCCCCGGCACAATTCCCTATTTATAGCCAGCTCCTCCCGTGCGCCGGCTATTTCCAGGAGTCAGAGAGAATAGCCTGAATGGAGGGGGGCATGGAGGGGGCTGTGGGCAAGGGGGAGCCCCTCAGCCCCTGCCTAGAATGAGAGGGGGGGGGCGCATCCTCTCCAATCACCTCAAACTCCAAGGGATGCTCTGTGACCCCTATCTCTCTATCCCCCCCCTGCTGAGAGGGTGATGGAGGGGTAGGTTTGGGGGTGCGTGTGTCCCCCAGCCCCTCTGTGGTCCCATTCGGGGGGGGACACAGGTCTCTCTCCGCAGAGGGGGTGCCTGGCCGTGAGCCCCCCCTGGAGCTCCTGCCCTGCACCCTGCTGCACACCCCAGGTGAGTGGGAGAGCCTGGTTCCCTGTGCCCCCAAAACCGTGTGACACCCCCCCTCAAAACCCTGTGACACTCCCCCCAAAACCCTGTGACATCCCCTCTCAAAATCCAGTGACATCCCCCCGCAAAAGCCGGTCATGCCCCCCCAGTGAGGTGTGAGTGTAGCATGGTGGGGGGGTGCGCAAGGGGGAGAGCTGCTTTCCTTGGATGAGTGTGCACAGCTGTGCAAGGGGAGAGCTTCTCTTTTGACACGAGTGTGTCAGGGGGAGAGCTGCACCTGACTGTTCAGCTGTGCAAGGGGTAGAGCTGCTTTCCTTGCATGAGGGTGTTCAGGTGTGCAAGGGGGAGGAGAGCTGCTCCCCTTGTGTAGGTGTGCAAGGAGGAGAGCTGCTCTTTTTGTATGAGTGTGTAAAGGTGTGCACAGGTGTGTCAGGGGAGAGCTACACGGGTGTACAGCTGTGCAAGCAGCCCCTGTCCATGGGGGTGGGGGGGCACAGGGTGAGGGTCCCCTCACAGGGTGAGGTGGTGGCCCCAGCCCGGTGCCAGCCCAGAGTCACCACTGACCCCAAAGTGTCGGGTTGGCTTCTCTGGGGGCTATTTTTAGCCCCCTCGGGTGCTGCCCCCTCCCCTCCCCCCTGAAAGGGCTGGGTGCTGACACCCCACCCCGCCCCCATTGCACCCCAACACCCACCGGGGGCCTTTGATTACCCCCGAAACTGGGATGTGTCAGGTCTGGGGAGCTGCAGGAGTACCCCAATGCACCCCCAAAAATATCTCCCCCGCAAGATGTGACTTGGGGTGGGGAGGGGGGGCTGGGGGTTCCCCTCTTGCATGTCAAGGGGGGGCTGGCACTGACTGCGGGGGGCTGGTTGGTGTCTGGGGGTGCTGGTTAGGTTGGGGGGTTGCTGCCTGGCTTGGGGGACTGGCTCATACTGGGGGGACTGATTGGTTAGTGAGGAGCTGGGGTTGGTTGATACTGGGGGGGGCTGGTTGGCACTGGGGTTACTGGTTAGTTTGGGGGAATACTGCCTGACTTGGGGGTCTGGCTCATACTGGGGGGACTGGTTGAGATGGGGGTTCAGGGGGCTGGTTGGTATATTGGGGGACTGGTTGGCATTGGGAGGGACTGGTTATCTTGGGGGATGCTGCTTGGCTTGGGAGGCTGGCTCATACTGGGGGAGACTGGTTAGTGCTGGGGAGGGAGGGCCGGTTGAAACTGGGGGTGCTGCTTCGTGTGTTGGGGGGCTGGCACTGAAGGGACTGGTCATTTTGGGGGGATGCTGCCTGTCTTAGGGGTTACCTCATACCAGCGGGGGTCTGGTTGGCATTGGGGGGACTGTCTGGTACATGGGGGGCTGGTTAGCTTGGGGGGATACTACCTATCAGGGGGGCTGATATTTGGGGGACGTGGTTGGCAATGTGGGGGTGCAGCAGGGTACTGTGCACTGGCAGTTTTGGGGGGGGCGGCTGTCCTCGGGGGGGCTGGCATGCCCCGGAGGGGTCTGTCAGAGCGGGGGGGGGGGGCTGGGGGTGCCCCACCCCCGCGCACGGTGACGTCCGTGGGTCTGTCCAGGCGCACGTCAGTGGCCGACGTGCGGCCGCGCCAGGTTGAGGGGGCTGCGGGGAGGGGAGGGGGGGGCGCATTAACATTCAGCGCGTGCCCCCCGCCCCCGCCTTCCTGTTTGCGTGGGGAGGGGGAGGGCTCGAGGCGGGGGTGGCCCGGACGCTGTGTCCCCTCCCCGTGTCCTTTGCTGATGGAGGTGAGGGGGGGATGTCTGTGCCCCTCGGTGATCGCTGGGGAGTTTAAGAGGGATGTTTGGGGATGGGAGGGCTCAGTCTTGCCCTCCTTTCCCCCCCCCCCGGTTGCCCTTTGGGTTGGTTGTTCTGTGTTGCAAATGCAGGAGCTTGGACTGGGGGGACCTCCATGTGATTTTTTCTGGGGGGAGAAGGGGGGAATCCCGGGCTTATCCAGTGGGTTGGAAGCTGGGGGGAGACCCCCAGGAGCTTCATGGGAGGGGCTGATCACTGACCCCCCCACGGCAACCCCCCAGGTGCCCCTGAGCTGTCCCCTCCCGTCCCCCCATCTCTGGGAATGCCCAGCCTCTTCCCCCATCCCTGGTACACTCCCAAACTGCCCCTAACACCTCCCCTCATCCCCAGGACACCCCCAAACTGCTCCCAGCTACCCTCTCCACCACTGGGACACTCCAAAACTGCACTGGGTTGACATCCCCATCCCTGGAACACCCCTATATTATCCCTTGAAGTTCTAGCTGCCCCCCCATCATCCCTGGGACACTCCCAAACCACTCTCAGTTCCCTCTCCACCACTGGGGCACCCCAAAACTGCCCCTTAAACAAGTCTTATCCCTCCTATCATTCCCGGTACACCCCCAGCACCCCCCTCCCATCATACCCGGGACACCCCCAAGCCACCCCCATTTCCTCTCTCCATCCCTGGCGCACTCCAAAACTGATCCCAGCTCCCCCCCGTCCTTAGGACATCCCCAAAATGCCCCCAGCTTTTTCCCCTCTCACTGATGCTCCCAAACTGCCCCTAATTCCCCTCCCCCATGCCTGGGACACCCCAAAACTGCCCCTTAACAAAGTCCCAGCCCACCTATCATTCCTGGGACACCCCCAAGCCACTCTTGTGTCTCCCCCACATCCCTGGGACACCCTAAAACCGCCCCTTAAACAAGTCCCTGCCCCCACCATACCCCTGGAACCCCTTCCCCAAGCCACCCCCATCCCACCTCCCCCCCGTAACCCGGTGTGGCCCCGCAGGGCCAGAGGGGCCGGGGCTGGAGGGGCCGGGGCTGGAGGCGGCGGGGCCGGAGGCTGCAGGGTTGGACGCAGGACTGGCGGCGGCGGCACGGGAGCGGCAGCTGCAGCGGGAGCTGGTGGCCCTGAAGCAGCAGCAGCAGCTCCAGAAGCAGCTGCTCTTCGCCGAGTTCCAGAAGCAGCACGAGCACCTCACGCGCCAGCACCAGGTCCAGCTCCAGAAGCACCTCAAGGTGTGACGGGGGGAGCCTTGGGGGGTGAATTGGGGGAATGGAGCTGTTGGGGGAGATACTGGGGGTTGTGGAGCCATGGGGAGGTATATGGAGGATGATGGAGCTATTGGAGGGGGCATACCGGGACTGATGGAGCAACTGGGGGTGATGGAGCTCTTAGGAGGGAGGTTGGGGGGATGGAGCTGTGGGGTATCTGTAATCTGGGGTGATGGAGCTCTTGGGGGGCAATTTGGGGTGATGGAGCCACTGAGGGGGTTTGGGGTGCCAGAGCCATGGGGCCATCATGTTCCTTGGGGTGCTGGAGCCGTGGGGTGTTATCCTGGGGTACCAGAGCCAGGTGGGGCGGAGGAGGCAGGGCAGTGCATCCCCCCAGTGTGGCCATGCTCCAGGGGTCCCATCCCTGCCCCCCATGTCCCTCTGCCCTGCAGCAGCAGCAGGAGGCCCTGGCTGCCCGCCGGCAGCAGGAGCTGGAGCAGCAGCGGCAGCGGGAGCGGCAGGAGCTGGAGCAGCAGCGCCTGGAGCAGCTCCAGAGCCTGCGACCCAAGGACAGGAGCCGTGACAGTGAGCGAGGGAGCATCGGGGGGCTGGGGAGGGGGCTGGTAGCAATTGGGGCTGGGGGTGGGTTGAAGGCACTGGGGGCAGTGTGCTCAGAGGAGGCAGTGGGACTGGGGGGAATGGTGTCAATTGAGGGGGGGGAGTGTTGTGGGCTGTGGGGTGGATTTGGGAGAATGGGAGGCAGCAGGATCTGGGGGGGAAGTGGAGCTGGGGACATCTGTGGGGAGCTGGTAGTGATGGGGGGCTGGGGAGTGGGTGGAAGAACTGGTAGGGCAGCGGGCTCTAGATGGAGGCAATGGGACTGGGCACATCTCGGGGGGGACAGGTAGCAGCTGAGAGGCTGGGGGCA